CTTCATTTATTTGAACCCAATCATACACGGGTTGACCTGGTTGATCGATTGAAGTTTCAAGTTGTCGAATTTTTTCGATGATCATATAAATTCTTATTCCATTGTCATGTGTGAATGAGATGGGTTAGGGAGACAAGTATCCAACCAAGTCAAAAGAAATACAAACGAAATCTTATGATTTTGAAACAATTCAATGAATGTAACCATAAACTTTTCAAAATTTATACAATATATTTTTAAAATATTTGTTTTAATATCAATATGTGAGTATATATCGATATTAGAATCATTAAAATGTGAATATTAATTACCCGGTTGACAACCTAATGGGTAATTAATATTCAAATTATTGAAAAAGAAAAAAAGGTGTCGATTTTAGTCAAATCTAATGGCTACTAAACCCGTGGGGAACTACACGATATGAGTTTGGCATATTCCGACTGAAGTTCCAATAGTCCTTTTATAGCCATTTAAACCCTTATTGAAGTAAGTGATCTTACAGTTAAAATATTATATATTTGGTCACGAAGTTATTCTTATATAAATATTATAAAATATTTAAAATTATTAGATTAAATTAATGGTTACCTATTAAATTATATATTAAAATTTATAAGTTTAAACGTCATCCAATCAACTTGGGCACATTTTTTTTTAGGAGTGGTTTTATTTTTAGAATATTCTATCGAAATAAAAATATAAAATATAAAATTATTATACTAAAAAATTAGCTAAAAGGTGTGTAGAATTAAAAAAATCCACAAACCCATTTATATTAAATAATTATGATAGCGGTGGCTAATTTTTAATTAGAAAGGACCTATTTATCCTTTTCAAAGAGACGTAAATTAATAAAATTCTTATTTGACAAAAACAATTTATTTAAGTGGAATTAATTTTTTGATTTGCACCTTAATCAAAGATTAAGTTTTAAAATATTTGTGATTTTTTTTAATAATTTTTTTTTTTTATAAAAAAAGTCTAAATATACAGCTGGCAATTTCAGTTCGTGAGCCGCATTTTGCGCGTGCTTCTGAACATGAGATGATTCATCCCATTCACTCCTAAAATTTTCTCTAAAAAAAAAATTAATTTTCTTTGCTGTCAAATATTTTTATAAAATTAATTTTTGTTTGCTGTCAAATTTTTCATATTATTTTTTTAATATATATTAAAAATATATTTATATTAAGCGGGTAGGACGAGGGCAAAGAATATAATCTCGTCCCTGATCCCAATCTCATTTATCTATTGGGAAAAAAACATTATCCACTCTCTCTTTCAGATGGTAATAAAAATTAATTATTTGTAATAGTTCGGTATAATTACAAAATTTTTATTACCAAATAAAGAGTGGATAATAGAATTTAATATACATTTTTAAGTCTATAATTTGTGAGGTTACATTACTAGTCAACACATTTTAAATCCTTAAATAAAAACTAAATTTTTTTTGAAAAAATAATATTTGACCAAGATATCGAGCAATATACCAACTAAGACGTTGACTCTCGAAACATCTGGTCACATGATTCATGTATATTTGAGAAAGGTGGCCATATATATTAATTTATCCATTAAACTTTATCTTTTTTAAAACTTTTTATAAAGTTTTTATGATGCAACCAAGCAGCTTCGCTCATTTTCGTGATTATTCTATCCATTTCTGATCTATAAAATCCACCACCAGTTCTTCCCAAAACCTCTCCTCTCCATTTCCTACCTTTAAGCCATCTTCTATCTCTCTGTTCCTCCTCTGTTTTTCTCTGTTTTTTTTTTTTTTCCAAATTTTTCCGACAAAATTTGCAGATGCGTTTTAATGCTTCCGTTGTTGTCCGCTGATGGTTTGTATTCATGTCTCCTGTAGTCTGTGAGATCCTTCTCTCTGGTTTTACCATTAACTCCGCCCTCCGCCGTGGTACTCATCTTGTTCAATCCCTCTCCGTCGTCTTCCTCTACTGGTTTTACGTTTTCTCATGAACTAACTCCCGATTCCGATCTTAAATTCTGCAAAAATTTCCAATAATTGCCAAAATTACCATCTGGGTTCTTTAATTCGTGCTGTTTAGAGTAAAACCCATATCGAAATTCGTCATCTTTTGGCGAACACACACACAAAACAAGAAAATCCTCTGTTTTCCTCTGTTTTAGACACGGCCGGTTTCATGGCGTCTACTGTCGGAAGTCCGTCTAAATCTCCGAGCTCCGACGAAGATCTGCGGCAGATCGTGGATCCGAGGAAGAGGAAGAGAATGATATCGAATCGAGAATCTGCTCGCCGATCTAGGATGCGAAAACAGAAGCAGCTCGACGATCTGACGTCTCAGGCCAGCCTACTCAAAACAGAGAATGAGCAAATCGCTGTCAATTTCAATTTCACCACCCAACTTTACCTGAATCTGGAGGCGGAGAACTCGGTTCTCCAAGCCCAGATGGCGGAGCTCCGCCATAGATTGGACTCATTAAACGAAATCATAAGCTTTATAAAGTCGAGTACTAGAAATCTGTATGATTCTGAGGAACATGATGAAGTTTCTGAGATTGATGGGGTTGTTGATTCTTGGGGGATTCCCTTTCTGAACCAGCCAATCATGGCGGCTGGTGATATGTTTATGTGTTGAGTGGAAAGGAAAAAGACAACCAAAACCAGGGTGGATTTCATCATTGTTCATTGGTACTTTGGTCTTGTTTAATGTGGTTGTGTTCTTATTTGGAATGTAATCAATGTACCTTTAATGATATTAAACAAAAAGAAAACTCATTTTATTAAAGAATGTTCACCCAATACATTTGATTCACTAAAAGTTTTGTTCAACTACATATTTACGTGCCTCTCTTACGGTATGATCATTATTGTTTTTGAAGGAGCAATTATGAGATCTCACGTTGATTGGAGAGAGAAATGAGTGTCAGCGAAGATGCTGTACTCCGGGGTGAATTATGAGATCTCACATTAGTTGGAGAGTGGAATTAAATATTTTTTAATAAGAGTGTGGAAATATCTCCCTTAGTATACACGTTTTGAAAACCTTGAAGAGAAACTCGAAAGAGAAAGCTTAAAGATAACAATATATGCTACTGGTGAGCTTGTGAGGGTGACAAATGATATTAAAGTCAGACATTGGACGATGTGCTAGGGAGGATGCTGGGCCTTGAAGGGGTGGATTGTGAGATCCCACGGACTGAAGAGAGTAACAAGTGTCAGTGAGAACACTTACCCCTAAGAGATCCCACATAGTTGGAGAGGGGAACTAGTGCCAACAAGAACACTAGGTCTTAGAGGGGGTGAACTGTGAGATCCCACATCAATTGAAGAGAGGAACGAGTGCTAGCGAGAACGTTGGTCCCAAGGAAGGGTGAATTTTGAGATTCCACATCGGTTGGAGAGGGAAACGAAACATTATGTAGAAATCTTAAGCATGATCGAAATCTTAAGCATGAAACAGTTGTTTTTTCCTTCGTAAAAAAAACTAAAAAGAGTTGGTAAGGTACGAGCTAAAAAGACATTCCCGCTCAAAATATTGTTCTTTTAAGGTAGGTTTAAATCAAACAAAACGACACAGATTTAAAAAATGGAATATAATCAAAACCTATTAAATTGATTACAAATGAGCAAAAAAGTTAACATTTCTTACCATTTATAAGAATTTCTATAATGCATTGCCATTTTGTAAGAACAAAAGGAGAGGCCTTTATTATAATAATACTTTATATTTCTGAATGCTCCATTTTTGGGCTTAAAAAAATGAGCATTATTGGTGAAGAAAAGATAACATTTTTATTTGGTCATCATTGGTTGCCTTCAGATTTGCATCAAAATATTTTATTTAAAAAATTGTGTTTATTTAAAACAAATTAGGTAAGAAAAATATATATATATATATATATAATTCCAATTTTCTATTATTTTCTTTAACATTATTGAAAAGATGATGGAAAACCAAATTTTGATCACAACCCTTTTCCTTTCTCATCATAACATATCAAATAAAACAAAAAGTTATGATTTTTTTTTAAATTTTTTATTCTAAATTTAAATAAATGTTACAATTTTTACCCTCATGGCTAATTTTTAAATTAATTTCAACAAAAACACAGGAAAGAATCTTTATAAACTCATTAAGTTTAATAAAATGATTTTTTTTTTTTTTATGGAAATTAGTCAAAATTAGACTAATGAAAAAAATTAGATTTGAAGTTATCTTTCTCTAAAATTTTTAAGATTTTATATCATAAAAATATTATATATAACTCATTGAATGAGAACACTTTTGTTTTTTTTATGATATTTAAACATTTTTAGTTGGCTTACTTACTTTTTTTTTTTTTTTTTTTTAATTTTTTATAAATAGAAATATATATAATATATATATAACTTTATTCAAAGATTAATGTTGAAATCAATATAGGAGGAATATTTAAATTTGTATTGACATGAAAGTCAAATATTAAGATTAGAAAATAATGATATGATTTGAAAAAAAAGCAAGAGTCGGCTACCTTGTCTCAAGTGTGGTTATAAGTAATTATTAGTTTAACCTAAGTAGTTAATTTAGTTGTGATTAATGTTTTATAAATTTACTTTTAACCTAAGTAGACTAAATAGGATTGTGTTTGAAATAATAAAAATGAATTCCGTGGGACCGACCAGCACGGGGTCGGTGACCCGACTCGACACACTACTGGCACTGGAATGTATGAAGGGCGGCAGCAGCAGCAGAGGGGTAGAATATTTCATCATGATATGACTAGCATGACTCTAATACTATGTTAGAAACCACAACTCTCTACAATAATACTATATTGTCCACTTTGAGCATGAACTCTCGTAACGTTACTTTTAGTTTCCTCAAAACACCTCATACTAATGGAGATATATTCTTTACTTATAAACCTATGATCAACTCCTTAGTGTGGGAGTCCTCTCCTGACAATCGGCACATGAAGCCAATTCAACTTTTACAGACGAGTCATCTGGAATTTAAATTTCTTTTGGCACGGAAGCCAAGTCGTGTTTTCACATTCCTTAATTTTCACCATATAAAATACAAAAATTTTGAGTGACAGAGGAAAGGGAACGGATTTCAACAAGCCAACTACAATTGAAGAAGAACAAGAAGAAGAAGAATTTCTGATACCTGTCGGAACTTGATGATTGGTCAACAATAAGCATTAGCAGGCGATGAAAGCGCAAGGAATTAAGAGGGCTCTGGCTTGGATCACCAAAAGTTACCACAAGAACAAGTCCCATTGTGGAAGTGATGAAATCTCATGTTATCCCTTATAATGATCTCCCTTCCAGTGATTTCAGATGCAGCACACATGACATTGTGGCAATCCTCGCATATCCTAAGGTTTTTCATGATCGTAATGGTTTCCCCTGCCTCAGTACATAACATCCCGTATGCCAACGCCAGCTTCTCACTATGACTCATCAGTATTCGTTCCTTTTCATCATCGGTCAAGTCATAAGGCACAGAGCTCAAGTTTGGCTTGTATCCATGGGCTCTTAATCTCACAAGGAGTTGCCTCAAGGCTTGTCTAATCTCACTTGATCGTTGATGGGTTGCATCATCCGCAAAGAATTCATGAATGTCCCCTTTCTTTCCTTCAAACCAGCTGCAGCCAGGATTCTTCTTTAAGCCTTTGGCTCGAATCACTTTCCGTAATTTCGACACCTCTTCCCATCTTCCTGCTGATGCATATATGTTTGATAGCAGAATGTAGTTACCTATACCATCTGGTTCTAGCTTGAATAATTGATCGGCAGCTACCTGAGCAATGTTGGGATTCCCATGGATGCGGCAAGCTCCAAGCAGTGCTCCCCATACGCCTCCATGGGGTTCCATTGGCATGGTTTCAATGAGTTCAAGAGCTTCTTCCAAACATCCACCTCGACCAAGGAGATCAACCATACACGCATAATGATCGGGTGAAGGCGTTACGTTAAAATACTTTTCCATCTTAGCAAATAGCTGCCGACCTTGTTCGACCATACCGGCATGGCTACATGCTGAAAGCACCCCAATGAAAGTAACCTTATTTGGCCTGATCTCAGTCTTTAACATCTCATGGAACAACTGCAAAGCGGAATGAGCGCGACCATGCATAGCGTATCCCACAATCATTGAACTATACGAGAACACATTTCTTTCCTTCATTCCTTCAAAAATCTTGTATGCCTCATCAGGACTACCACATTTAGAATACATATCGATAAGAGCAGATCCCACCATTACATGTTCATAAGGTCCAAAGCCTGATCTTTCAGCAATGTCTCTAATCCAGTTAGCATATTTAACTGCACCCAATTGTGCACAGGCTGAGATGACACCAACAAGTGTAACTTCATCGGTCTCGATACCGACATCCTGCATCTTCTGAAAATACTCCAATGCCTCCTTTGGTCTAGCATTTTGGGCATAACCAGTGACCATTGCAGTCCATGCCACCATATCCTTCAAAGGCAATTCATCAAACAGCCCCCTAGCAGATTCCATGTCCCCAAACTTCGCATACGCAACAATCAGCTCAGTCCATGAAACCACATCTCTCTCAGACATTTCATCGAACACCTTCCGCCCACAACCCAAAACCCCACATTTCACATACATATCAATCATCGTATTACCAACATATAAATCAGAAGCGAATCCCCCAATCAAAATCGTCTGAGCATGCACCTGCCTACCTAAATCCAAATTAAGAGAAGCCCCACAAGCCTTAAAAAGCGCAGAAAACGTAAACGAAACAGGACTGACGCCATTCCCCCTCATGTTAGTATACAGGTTAATAGACTCAGTGAAGGGTCCTTGAAGGGCATACCCACGAATCATGGCAGTCCAAAGAAAGGGATTGGGGTAATTAACCTGTCCAAAAACCAGACGTGGGTAGCAATCCATTGGGACATCTACCTTCGAAAGCATGCGAATGAGTTTGGTAAGGACGTAAGAGCATTGACTCAAGCCATTGCAAATGATTTGGCCATGGACTTGCTTGATTTGAGAAAAGTCCGTGCAGTCGTGGAGAATACTTATGAGTCGCCATTCTAAGAGCTTCCGCTGCTGTTGAAGCTGAGAAAAGGGTATGAAATTTGGCGTCGCCTGTGTCTGGCGGGGCTGTAAATAACTAAGCTTGCAGACTGTGGAGAAGTTGCGGGAGAGACCAATCATTACAAAGTTGCAAGCATTGGAGGCGTACCGTTCGACGGTCACTCCGGCGACTTCGATAAATCGCTAGGGCAATTTCTTTTTTTATTTTTTAATATAATATTTTAAAAAATCTTAATAAATCAATAAATCAATAAATCAATAAATAATAATAATAATAATAATTTATTTATTTATTTATTATTATTATTATTTTTTTAATTTTTTTAAATATGCGTTGAAAATATATTTATATTAAGTGAGGGGAAATTGGGTGGGAACAGGTACGAGGAATATAATCCCGTCTTCGATTCTATTAATGGGAAAAAATGTTCTACACACCTTCCCTATTCTCCATCTAAACCGAGAATTCAATCAACCTAACTCAATGTTCGAAAAGTTCATTCAAATAAATAAAAAATTTACGAGTTAAAATTATTTTATAAGATATTTAAGTTATTTAGGGTTTACTTCATCAAACAATTTACTCCATTTATATGAATTATTTAAATTTTAATGCAAACATATATTAATTATGAATTTTTGACTTTTATGGAACGTAGCTTAAAATGAGGAAAATTATTTTACTCTAAAAAGAAATGGCATTTCAATGAAGAATTCCCTAAATTAATATGTTTCCCGATCAATGGGATTTCAGCTCGAAGCTTTAATGTTACATGTGCTAAAAATATAAAATTTAAAACGAGAGATTTAATATAAAATAAATATTATAGTCAAATCTCGTTAGGTCGAGATCTTTCTTTTACTACCTAAATTTCTATTTGTCAACAATAGAGAACTGAAAGATAGCACTTTTATATTATCGAAACGAAATTGAAAGATAGCACTTTTATACGTGATCATATGTCGTCTCGTCTTTTCATCATTGAAGAGTATCTATAAACTATTTTCAGTTCACTGACAATGAAGATAGAGTTGGAGTTGAGGCAACAAATGTGTTCGTTTTCGTCAGTCATTTAAGCACATTATATCATCAAGGTATCGATTTCATTCATCTTCTATTTGTGTTCTTTTTCTTATTTCGTTGAACGTTTGAACTCGATATAAAATATTCAAAATAGTAATTTTAACGTAATTTAATTAATTGAATATAAAAATTAAAAGAGAAAAAGAGAATAATTCCAATAGTCGAGTGGTCGGGGCATTTCTTTCCCTTTTTTCTTAAATATTATAAATTTAAAAATACAAATGACTTAGAGGCAAAGCAAACAAAGATTAATATAATCTATAATTTAATTAATAGAAATAAAAAAAATTAAAATTATTCCAACTTTTAAAAGTCCAGATAATATTTGTTTCCATTTTTTTAATCTATTAAAATTTCAAAAATACTTTTTAAAATTTCATTTATATTTTCTAATTTTTTTAAAAAATTAAAAAATATATTTACCGTAAACATTCAAATTTTAATGTTATTTTAAAATTAAAAGTGTTTTTAAACTTTTAAAAAATTAAAAAAAATATTTTAAAATTTATGAATAATTTTTATATCCAAAACTAATGGTAAGTGTATTTGTTAAGGATATTTAGTAATAAATTATAGTTTACCATATATATTATATTTGATATTTTATTATAAGGCAAATATTGTCTTATTATCATAGGTATCTTTCCATTTATTGTTATTTTCATTTATTACTATTTCCATATCCTTGTAATTTATTTGATTATAAATGAGATAACTTTCACACCATTTAGGTGTGGTGGATTAATCAAACATTCACAGTATTTATATAGACAAATTTAAAAGTTTAAGAATATACTCGAATATTTTTATTAATTTAACCTAAAAATTTATTTTTCTTTTTCAACTTAATATATATATATATATAATTTTTTTTTAATAATTATTTCCGAGCTTAATTGAGATAAAGGGGAGGGAATATGCTATATTTATGCTTTATTTTTACGTCGAAATATTATATTTTAGGTCGTAATTATTTTATTTACTTATCTTTAGATAATTATTTATACAAGTGAAACTTATGGACACGAACAATTTTAAAAATTTACGATAAGAAATAAAAATTTTAATTTGGAATGAATTATTATTTTTAAATATTTTTTTTTAATTATTTTTTTTAGATTTTTGTTTTTGTCTCCTTCTTGATTTAAAATTAGGTTTTACATTTTATGTTGTTGTTGGCCAAATTATGGGTGATTTTTCATTGATTTTCTTTTTCACAATTTTATAAATTTAATTAATACTTTCCACTTAAATTACCCTAATTAAATAAAAATGTCAAAAAATGTATTTTATAATTTTATAACTCAGCCTCACAGTTTTAAGACGAGTATGTTGGAAAAAAGTTTTGAATATGGGATCTCACAATCCATTTTCTTTGGAGGTGAGTGTCCTGCTAGCACACTACTCAGTATCTGACTCTGATACTACTTGTAATAATTCTCCAACCGATTTAAGATCTCACATATGCGATCCAAACTGCTTGGGTATCTCTATCAAAACTATTTGAACTACGTTAAAATTGGTCAAAATTAGTATCGATTTTTTTTTTTTTTTTTTTTTTTTTTTTGCACGAACGGCTTAGTGATTTGGTTGGATTAGTTNAACACTATTCCGATGTGGTTTAGGTTTTTCAACAAAGCAGTTGAATGTGTCTCTACTTTTTCCCAACAATAATTTACATCTAATTATTATTGCTTTTTTTCTTTTTTAATTTTAAAATCAACTTTTTACTACAAAAATTTTAAAATATTTCTTTTTGAATAAGACAAAAGTAATATAAATATTAATAAATTAATTGACCAAATATATTTTTAATTATTTAAAAAATTATACCAAATTCACCTTAATTCATAATAATGTAACTCAATTATCAAGGAAATTAGGTGGCTTGAAGTGAAAGAGCACTGTTACAAAAATATAAATTAAGTGGCAATATAACTATCAATACGACGTCGTTTTCGTGGATTTTGGGTGAAAATTTTAAAATTTCCCTATAAACTTTTTAATTCACTCACAAATTTACAAATTAAAAAAAAAAAAAAAAAACTAAAAAATCTCTTTAATTTAAATTTATTAATTTCATTAATATTATGCTAAAGTATAGGGACCAAATTGAAATTATGCTAAAGTTTTAATTTTATTCGGTGGAATATAATTTTTTATTTTATTTTCGATAAATGTGTATATTAATTTTTTTTAATGAATTATTGACCTTAAAAGACCATAGTGTACTTGTTCAACAAGCCACATTTTTTTTAAATGAAAAAACGCTTAGGTTACAATGATTAATACCACTCTATATGCTTTTTGATACCTAAATTATAATCTATACCTCCTTTAAATTGGTACACCACTTTTGAATTAATACACAATAACTTTCCTTTTCTAAATTAAGCTATACACGAGTTGGGTCGGAATATCTTTTAATTTAAACATTTTTTTCAAAATTATTTTAATAACTGTAACAACTCGAGCCCACTGCTAGTAGATATTGTGCTCTTTCAACATTCTTATAAAAAATGTTTTGTTTCCTTCCCCAAACGATGTGAGATCTAACAATCCACTCTCTTTGAGTCTAACGTCTTTGCTGACACACTGCTTAGTGTTTAGCTTTGATACTATTTTTCGACTTTTTTAATCCGTTTTTCGGAAGAAAAATGTTGTATTTAATGGAAACATTAAGAAGAAGATATTGTTAACTTTCAAATGAATTAAAGTTTGTTTAAAAAAATTAAATTAAAACATGTGACTTATTAATTATAGAACACAATTAAAGTAGCAATAATAATGATATGATTAATGATGTTTAGAAAGCAAAAATCAAAAGGGTTTTTTGCTAATCCTTCCCTAATTAGCTTAGAATGAATTAATTAAGTAAAACATTCATAATTAACAACTCCAAATCCTTTATTTCTTTGTTACGTAAAGCTTTTTTAGTTGTTAGATACCAACTCCCATTGCTTTCATTAATTCTCTCTCTATAAATTTAATCTCATAATCTTCTTTGGATCATACTTTGAAGCTTCCTTCTAAGAGCTATTATGGCTATGTCTCTGAGCTTTGTCTTTGCTTTGGCTCTTCTTGCCATGGCTTCTGGTGGGTTGTCTCACAAGATTGGCGGCGGTGGGGGCGGCGGCGGGGGTGGTGGTGGTGGTGGTGGGGGTGGTGGGTATTATTTGTATTCACAATTCTATGACCATTCTTGTCCAAGAGCTCAAGAGATAGTGAAGTACATAGTGGGTAAGGCTTTTGCTAAGGATCCTCGCATGGCTGCTTCCTTGCTTAGGCTTCATTTCCATGATTGCTTTGTTAAGGTTCTATCTCTATCTCTATCTCTAACTCTATTTTTCATGCAATAAAGTTGGTTTTGTTTTTCGAATTTGAAATTTGATTAAGAATTCAAAGTTGCTTGAGACTAATGGTTATTGGGCCGTTTAGAAGTAGAACGAGTTTTTGAACCGAGAAGTTTGTTATTGTTGTAAAACAATTGAAGATACGAGCTTATGAGAGTAGAGATGTCTATTTAATGTGCGAGACTAGGTCATGTAGGGACCAACTCCAAATGGGTTGGAGAATCTATGTTTAAATGGAGAACGAGGGAGAGAAGGAGGAGAGACTTTTAATCGTTGACTAAATGGAAATAGGGACGAGAATTACATTTCTCATCCTCGTACTCGTCATGCTCCATTTTTATTTGTAAGAGTAGAGAATGAAATTGTGAGACCCCACACCGATGGGAGAGGAGAACAAAACATTTTTTCTAAGGGTGTGGAAACCTGAACCTTGAGGGGAAGCGTGAAAGGAAAAGTCCAAAGATGACAATATGCTAGTGGTGGGCTTGAGTTGTTATAGAAATAGGAAGCGGGAATGAAGATAGAGAAACAACTTTTTAGAGATGGAGACAGAAAAAACTTCTCGAGAGTCTAATAATCTCATCTTCTTAAACATTTGATTTTTCCAGGGCTGTGATGCCTCACTGTTGTTAGATAGTAGCGGGACAATAACGAGCGAGAAAAGGTCAAATCCAAATAGAAACTCCGCCCGAGGCTTCGAAGTTATTGACGAGATCAAATCCGCCTTGGAAAAAGAGTGTCCTCGCAC